CACATACCTTCAACTTCTGACTTTAAAGTAACACCATGTAAGGTGAAGAAAAGTTGATTTTGTTGAGAGGTTTGTTTTTTGTTTTGGGGGGTCTTGGGTTTTGTTATTTTTGCCTTTCTCTTATATACATATCACGTACATGAAAAACACAGACAAATACAGGCTTTCAACTTGAGGAAGAGTTCTAGAGTTGGTCCCCTGACCTGTGTGACTGAGATTAAACACCTTTCTAGAATTGTTATTAACTTGTATTAATGGTTCATATTACTGAGACAGTCTGATAGTCTCACATGTGCATGCACTGTCCTGAATCAAGTCCTCCCCTCATTCTTCCACTGGACCCGGCCACTCCCTTCCCAGTCCTTCACTGGGGATGAGGGTATCCTTTGTGTGTGTGTGTGTGTGTGTGTGTGTGTGTGTGTGTGCATGTGTGCGTGTGTGCCCTGCAGTCTATGAATTTATATATAGTTCACATTAAATTCTGAAAATTTTTAGTTACTATTTCTTCTTTTTGGTTTTCTGCCCCTCTTTGGGCCCTTTAATTACATGATTAAGCAGCCTGATACGTGTGCACTGATGTTCTCTCTGTTGGTTTTCCAGTCTTCTATGTGTCAATTCACGAAGTTTCTGTTGTAATTTCTTTAATTTGATCAGTCCTTTCAAAAGATTTCCTTTTATTCTTTATGGGTGTTTTATCTGCGTATATGTATGTGTGCCACATGTGTGCACTGTCCACAGAGCCCAGATGACAGTGTTGGATCCCCTGGAGCTAGAGTTACAGATGTTTGTGAAGTGTCATGTGGACACTGGAAATTGAACCCAGGTTCTCGTCAAGAATAGCCAGCGGTCTTAACTACCGAGTCATCTCTTCATCTCTGATTGGTCTTTTTCTATAGTGCATCTGCCATTAGTAACACCAATGTGTTTTTCATCTTATAAATTGTACCAGGGAGTGTGACTTAGGTCTTCCAACATCTTCTATGTCTGTGTTGTGTAAAATATTCCTCCAACTTCTTCATTAGAATATGTGATAATCGAGGTCATAATATCCTGTGTGCAACTGAACTTATCTGAGGTTTCTGGCTAAAATTCCTCTTTAATAAACTGTATTTCCCTTCTTCTCTGTGTGAACTATAAATGATGGGTTCCATCTCCTTGCTTTATGTACTGTGTTCTATAGACTGAATGTTCATTACCCTCCAGGATTCCTCTATGGGAGCCTAAGATCCAACACAAGACATCTCCCAGCATGAAGGTAGAGCCTCTGTGACTGTAACCTTACAAAAGAGCTTTAGCAAGATCTCTTACTCCTTCCCCACATGAAAACACAGAGGCTGGCCATCCAAAAACTGAAACCATCGCCAGGCAGGGTTTGCTTACATGCTGTTTGCAAGCCTTCTGGTCTGTGATATTCTCTCATAGCCCCGAGAACAGACTCTGCATTTGGCAGCATAAATTAGATGCCTCACAGTGCTAATTTCACCTTGTCAGGGACTGAGTATTTTTGTGCTCTTAATAATACTTGAGATTTGTCCTGGGTCAGGACTAAGTTGCTTAGAAAGAATTTTTGCTTCTGATCTTTCTTTTCAGCTTCTTCAGGTAGTCAGAGCTTTGTTGGGTCAGTGGTTGGTAGTACTTCCTCCACTGTGGAAGAAAGGCCCCTCTCCTGCTCCATCCCCTATCTGTTGTCCTGTAAACTGGGGAGACAGAGCACACAGGAAGCTTTGAGGGTGCAGTTCTCTCAGACCTGAGTGAACACTTCATATCCTTTTCCAGTGCCCACCCCCCATGGGTCTCTGATTAGTGCTGTCATCTTTCAGAACCCAAGGGATGAGATCCAGGACCCTAGGAGACACCAGTGTCCAAGGATGCTCAAGGATGCACAAGCCCTTCCTGTAAGAGCCCCCCGCTGTTTCCACAGACACCAAGCACTGTCCAATACCTGCATCATCTCTAGATGATGTCACACTTAACAGTATCAGGCCCTTTCTGTGAGATGGCACAGTGTCTTCACCGAATAGGAGCATCATATCCAGATGACATCACACCTTACACAGGGTCAGGTCCCTCTGTGAGGTGGCATGGAGTCTCCATAGAACCCCTGTACCACCCTGTACTTGATCATCTCTAGGTGATGTCATACTTCTCACAGTATTAGGACTGTGTAAATAGTTGGTGTTCCTGAACACTGTGTTGTTCAGGAAATAATGACAATAGAAAAAGTCTGCACATGTTTAGACTAGATGCCATTATTCTTCTGGAATAGTCTGTGGTTGGTTGAATGTGGATGCAAGACCACTGAAGGCTCCAGGAGTCCTTCACCCTCTGGAGACACTTGGTCTCTGGGTAAGGCTGTCTCCTCAGCATGACCCTGCACTACAAACCCTACAGCCTACTGTTTCCCTGGACTTCTGCCTGCTGCTTCTGATAGAAGCAGTGCTCTGGGGCAATCTTCCCTAGTTTTTCATCTTTTTTCACCAAGTATCATCTCACCCATTGTTGCATTTGTTTCAAGTGGGAGGTCAAGCTGTTCCCTGTGACCCCATCTTGGCTGGAAGCAAAAGTGGTTTCAAGAGGTTTTGGATTACTTCCTGCCCTACTGCATTGCCATCTGTGGACTGAGCAGGTGCCCTTTCGTCCATGTACTGGCTGACACATCTCATTTACAAAGTAATTTGAAGAAAGACATTGCCCTGCTTTGCAAAGACATTCACAACCTAAGAAAGATTTTACTGTCAGAAAGATTTTATTTTCAGAAAGATTTGTACAAATCCGTGAGAACAGAAGAGTGAAAATACAAATGGCCAGTAAAGTTTTTCTTTTCTTTTTTCTTTCCTTTTCTTTTTTTTCTTCTGCAATCCTGAAGATTGAACCCAGGGCCTCTTGCATGCTCAGCAAACATACTACCTCTGACCTACTGTCTCTAGTCCCTAATAGTTCTCCCACTCAGAAGTAATATAGTTGAAAATCAAAATGAAACATCAATTTACATGTCCATAATAAGGCTTTTTATGTAGTCATCAAAATAGCTGGACTTAAGATTTAATGGTAATTAAATTTTTATCATAGAAAAAGGTTACACTCAACAATATTAGTATTGATTGTTCTGACTGGTGAATCTATGACTGTTTGAATTCCCTCTGTTTGCAAGGTTTCTGTTGTAAATATGTATTACTTTCCTGCTATGGAGTGGGGTCATTTCCCTCTGGACACTGTAGGGCAGAGCTTGGCACTCCTCCATAAGGGGCTGGGCAGGAAATGCTTCAGCTTTTGCATACCAGATGAGGGACTGAGTCACCATTCCAGCACTGTAGCCCAACCAAGAGTGATCCAGGACAATAATGTATCTGGGTGCCAGGAGACACCGACTTCCACAAGAAATGGCAGGTTGACTTTGCTCCTGAGTGTTGTGTGCTAATACCACCTTCCTATCCCTCCCACTGTGGACCCCTGGGGGTGTGGATCCCACCATGCTTGGGTGTTGGCAGGGCTATGTTCACTTGTTTTTCTTCTCAGGTGCTTAAAAAAACAAGCTGTTACCATGGCATCTGCACAGGCCAGAAAGGGTATGGCCTTTGCGAAGGAACCAAGTCATTTCTTCCTCCTTCAAAGGCATTCTTTAAAGACCATTATCTTACTGTCATTTTGACTCTGTTTTCTTCCTCAAGTGAAAAAGTTCATATTTGACAAGATTGGAAGTCTTGGGGGCTTGAGACAAAAACTGGAAGAGTGGTCAGGAGGACTTTCTATTCCACTTTCCTCTGCCCCCAAGTAAAGCCTTAGGATGCTGTAGTCCTGGAGGAAGAGACAAGCCCAGTGCCCTGCTTCACCCTATGTTTGCTTCCAGAATTCCTTCCAGTTTCTCCCAGGGTGTTGCTGCTCTGTTAGGCAGAGTGAACCTGGGAGAGTGGAACCTAAAAATGAGGAGGACTAAAGTCTCATGCAATAGCCCACTTTATTCAGGGCATCCATTTATATTCTGAGGGTATTCTGAGAATTAAGCAAGGTCATGTGAGCAAAGTTCACTTGAGTTTAAGTTGTATACAGTCACAAGGGCAGGTCACATAAGTTTAGGCTATATACAGTCACACATCATTCTGAATAATGAGTAATCTGAAGTAAGCCCACCCTTATTCACAGCTGGGAGGTGCACCAAAGCACATTCCAAGAACACCCCATATTATGGAGGAACAGAGGTTACAAGACACTTGTCTGTTTATACTTAGAGTTTTCTTACAAGTGCTCAGAAATCTCCTCACACAGCTTTATTCGTAGACTGTTCTGACACCAGGGTCTTTAGCAAAGACCATCATGACATTCTTTGTCACCATTTATGCCACAAGTCAAATGTTTGCTGACTGATCACTTTTGCTTCATGGTCCTTCAGATATGACATAGGATGGAGGAAGGGGACCCTCCTAAGCCAGGGTGGCTAGGAAAGTCTTGGAGCCACTGAGAGTGAGTTGGGCTGGGTATGGTAATTCGCCTTTAATACCAGCACTCAGGAAGCTGAAGCAGGAGGACTGCCATAAGTTCGAGGGTAGCCTGAACTACATAGCAAGTTCCATCTTAACCTGGGCTATAGAGTGAGACCCCTGTTGGAAGAAAACCAAACAAAATATCAAAAAGACTAGGTTGGTCTCACTCGGTGTTCCATGGGGTCAAATTAACCTTGCCAAGAGACTCCTCCCCCAACCATGCCTGGCGGCCTCCCTTAAGCTTCCCACTCCTCCTTCCTCTTCACTCCTGAGAACACCATAGCCCTGGTGGTACCTCAAGGCACTGGCCAGTGTGCTGTCACCCACAGAGCACCAGTTGGGGAGCACCAGTGTGTTTTCTTCTGCACAGTTCTCCATCATTCAGGCACAGCAGTACATACTGAGGAGCGTGGACCCCAGAGGAAACACTGCCCCTGAGCTGTCCCTAAGTGCACACTCAATAGCCAAGCCAGTGGGGTTTCTTGACTTACAACTGAGGCCTTTCTCCTTCTGTCTCCTCAGAGATTGCAGGTACCACAGTGTCTGAAATTTCCGGGCCCTTTTCCACGGGAGACATAGCCAGCAGCTGTGTCCCAGCACCGGCTCTGAATGAGCCCATCTTGTGGATTGTGTCCTATGCCCTGATGAGCGTGTGTGGAGTCATCCTCCTGGTTCTGATCCTCCTGCTGCTGCTCCCAGTGCACTGCCGACATGCTCCCCGTGACCCTGAGGTCGTCAATGATGAGTCCTCACTGGTCAGACATCGCTGGAAATGAAGAACCTCTCTGAACTCCAGCAGCCTTGAACTCAGCTCTTCCAAGAGGGACATGTCCAGTCGGCTTCTCTGTCCGTCCGTCTGGAATCTCGGCTGTGCATCTCAATGCCTTCCAGACTCACTGTATCTTGATTACTCTTGATTTCCAAGCTTCCAAATCTTTTCTACTTCGGAGGGAAATGATAATAAAAACACCTCATTGTGAACCAAAATAGTGCATTGGGCTTCAGGCTTTATGGGACTGGTTATGCCAAACTGACCAGTGTCCTACCAAAAGCAAACAAACAAAAAAAAAAAACAACCCAAGCAAACAAAAAGCAGAAATAGGCCATCCGCTGTTGTCCTCCCTCTTCAACCTCAGGAAAATGGGTACATTCAGTTGCTAGTTTGGGTATTGACCATATCAGAGGATGTTTGTCAGACTACTGCCTGGTCTAGAACAAATGGAATGGCTTCCGATATCCTAGCAGGAGCAGCAGCCTTGTACCTGAAGAGAAAACCACTCAACTTTCCTCTGAGCCTACTGCACGCAGGCCCTCCAGTAGGTCTTGGGCTCCACACAGAATGAGAATTGACACACAGATCAGACCCCACACAAGCCCTTGCCAAGGGAAGGCCCATCTAGGTAGAGTAGGATGGAGTTCTAGTGAAATGCCTGTGTTATCTTTGGCATGAAGGTAGATGCCTCCTGTGTGGTTTGGGTGGGGTGTAGGCGGCCTGTTCCCATCATTGTCCTGGCCCATAAGGTGAGGCAAAACAGGTGCTGGGCTGGATGCCACTTGACATTTTGTCACCAAGCTGGTCACAGTCACATACACTTACTCGGGTTTCAAGTTAATTAATCATGTTTTAATGAGGAAAACAAACTCTCTCTCTCTCCCTCTCTGCTGCTGTAATTGTTTCTTTTCTTCAAAGCTTCTCTGGAACTAAGTTGGTAATTACTGATCTGGGAAATGGAGACGTGGCCAGATGCCCATGCTTCTGACCAGCTGTCGGGGAAGGGAGACTCGTGACTTGGAGCTCTTCCACTTTCTGAGTCCTTTGAAGCCATGTGCTTCCCTTCGTAACATGCCTGGGGCCCAAGTGTACCATCCAGAGCAATCTGAAGGCCCCTGACTGTCAGATGACTTGTGTGGTGTGGTTCTTCCCTCTGAGGGAGTTAAAGCCTTGGCAATGGGGGATCAGCAGTGTCTGTATTTACTGCCATTTGAGGCCTTTGCCAAAGAAAAGTGAAGCCTGTAACTCCATGTGGCCACTTGTTATGATGGGACATAATTGATGTGCAAAGCGAGTCTTGTCCCCAACCCCATTCTTGTGCCAAGTTTACTTTGTGCTACCTCTGGGACAGGTTGGATATAAAACATTCCTTCCAGAGTGCTAAGCATCTCCTTCAGCATGAGTGTCTTTGGTGTTGACAACAGACCCTGTGTGGATGTCTCAGCCATCTGTGCTGCTCACCCGGTCACCTCCATATTGAGAAATACGTGGCTGTGCCAAGGACATGCAGGAGCCATCCAGGCCTGTTGCAGTGGACTGGAAGACTCCCCAGTAGCCAGAGGAACCTTCTGTGAGATTCTTGTGAGAGAGGAGTTGAGCTGTTGCAGAAGGAAAATCCAACAGAAGCAGGGACAGCATTGTGTTTTCATATGCTTGAGGGTGTGCCGGGCCTGCACTGACCGAGAGCAAGTAATTCCAAAATGCATTACAGTGTCAGAAATCTCTAGAAGTGGGATTCTGACTGTTGATTTTTCATTGATTCCTGTCCACTAGGTGGGTTTGCATGGAAATGAACCAGGTTCTCCCAGACTCTACCCCACTTCCCTGTGCTGTGAGGACTCTGAATCCCTGAAACAGAAGGGGGATGCTCAATCTTCATACTCACCATGTCTGATTCTTTGTATTGGGATAGGACTCTAAAGTGTGGAAGATTTCTGCCACACCAGGTTAGTGGGTGCCCGCATCACAGTACAGGATGCTGACAAGCAGGGTGTCCAGGCAGGTGGAAGAGTACTACTGTTTGCTGTGTTTCACACCAAATGTGTCTACCTTTATATCTCAGATGCCAGTGGATGTGACATTTTGATGGGTATGTAAGTTACAAAAGCATAGCTTAGCAACCAGAATGAAATAGATGGTTGAATTTGGGACATTTTTCTGGCATGTACTGCCTTTGAATTCAAAACTGTGGTGACGCCCACCTTCTCAAGTTCTGCAAATTGAGACTTTACTTGGCAGACTTCCAGGAAGGTTTGCCTCAAACAGGAATCGAAGCAGCACCCTTTTGAGGGTCTCAGTTTTACTTCGAGCAGGATGAGGAAAACACTAGTAGTAGATGGGGGTGCTTCCCACCTGCAAGATGCAACTTTGCATCAGCTTGTCATAAACCTGCCAGCCCTGATGAAAAACCAAGCTTACCTTCCATGTAAACAATTACTTTAAATAAGCCAATTTTTTTTCCTGATAAATTATTTAGAAGTCTAGAATTAGCTGGGTGGTGGTGGTGCACCCCTTTGATCCCAGCACTCAGGGGGTCTGAACCCTGTTGATCTCTAGGAATTCAAGGCCAGCTTATCTACATAGTGAATTCCAGGACAGCCAGGGCTACACAGAGAAACCCTGTCTTGAAAAAACAAAAGTCTGGAATTAAATTCTGGCTTCAGGTAACTAAAGTTATTTTTAAAACAATAGCAAGAAATAAGACGACTCTATCTCCCCACATTGGGAGCCACCTGTGATCTGTGTCCAGTCTTCTGGTATGAACTACATTTTCTTGTGTCTGCTGCACGTGACCATTGGATGTGTTCCTCCCAGGCCTGTCCCACTTCTGAGCATTTTAGAAGGAATTTATCCAACACGTCCTGAAACCTGGAGGTTTGGGTTAGAGATACACTTGGGTCAGAAAATTATGGAAGTCAAGTAATTTCTAGAAAGCAGCAGTAAGGACCCCGTGGAGCTTTGAAGAATACATTTTCTAAAGCAGATTCCATTCTCTCATTTAAGAGGTGGGGAGGGACTACTTAATGATTTAATAAGAATGGGGATCTGCCAAATGGGTATTACTACTTTCTTACCTGGTGAAACAGCCATACCTGGTTGGGTTTTGAGTTCCAGCTTCCTCCCTGGGAATAGACCACTACCCAGAAATCTGTTCCACAGCTAAGGATAATTGAATTTCACAGATTTTACCAAATTAGTAGAAACCAAATAGCTGGACAGCATCCCAGTGTGTTTTCTTTTGTATGAACTTACTAGAACTGATTATTGGCACCTCCACAGGGGGGGGGGGGAATCACCACCATTTTCTACAGAAAACTACTAAACACCACAAAATACAAAACTGTAGATTTTTACTGCCAGGAAAAGTCCACATAAATGATTATGTACATCTCCAGTAAGTTTTAAGAATCACAGACCTGAATGTGTGGCAGTTTATCACTTAGACAGCAAAGCAGTTTGGGCCTGGGGGGTAAGAGAGTCATAATGTGATTAAAACAAGCTCACAGAATAAGCAGGGTTAACGCTTTTGGAAAATGTGCTTCAATTCTGGGCATAAGCTTTCTTTCACCCTCAAATTTGCTTTCTGTCAGAGGTGTCATTTCACTTTATGGAACTGCAACTCCCCGCCACCCCCAATTTCAAGAACGTTCAGGCACTGAAGTCAGCCTTGACAAAGAAAGTATGTGGGGGGCCTGTAACCACACGTTGCCTGAGCCAAATACAGATTGGTCAGTTCCATCAGCAAAGGGTCAAGAATTCCTGGGAGTTGATAAAGTCTAGACTCTTGGAAGGGGACAAGGCCTGAAGGAGTCAGGAGAAAGGAGAATACCCCACCTCAGTCTGCAGTTCCTCAATGGTCTGGAGAGCTGGGATATCCCCCACTTTACTCTGGTTTTTCAGCATGGCCTACATTTTAGGAATTTCCAAAGGCAACCCCTCAAGGAGATCATTGGCCACTGAGCAGTCATTCAACAAAGGGCTATTTATTTATTTAAAAGATGTCTGTTCCAGTAAGACCAGAAATACCTGAGTTCAGGAGCAGGACCCAGGCCAGAGGCTGCAGGTTCAAGGCTATGCTAGGGAATTTAATGGGCAAGGGAAAGTTACTCAGGCTACACTGACTTGGCCAGGTTACTTTTGGGAACTGTGTACCCAGGAAGGGCTCCTGAAAACCGAGGCTGGCCAGTCCCATGATCGCCAGCCCTATTGGGCCACACCCACTCTAAAAGCCATCAGGCCCTGACCACAGTCCTCAGGGATGGCTCCCATCCAGCAGGGATATATCCAGAGAGAAGAGCTTGAGTGGGCAGAGCCTCCCTCCTGCTGCTGTCAGCGTTATATCTGTGCCCTGTCTACAGTGGCCCTGGTCGTTTCTGCAGGAGTAGGTCTCATGGATCTCAGGTACAGAAGTACCCAGTCTTACTCAGAGTCAGCATGCTGAGCCCAGGCATCTGCATTACAACCTGGGCAAGCACCCTGGGTCAGAGGGTGAACTGAAGCAGTTGCCATGTTGCTAAAGATTTTGAAAGCCAAGCTAATGCTGGTGACATGCGTGTGTCTACAAAGCCCCTGAGTGAGGAGTTCATTATGGCTGGGGGAGCACTCACAATGTCAACCACAAAGGGCAGTGACTTTTCCTCCCAACCCACAAGCTTCCTTTGGATTTTGTATCAGATGTTATAGCCAGATGTCCTATGTTTCTAAATTTAACTGAGCCCTATAATTTTTACAGTACAGTTACTCTTAAAGAGACTATGGTAGGTGAAGGCTGAACCATAAATTCAAATCCCTGTCAGGGCTTCGGTGTTTCTTGACAAGTCTTCCATTGTATTTGTATCCAAGCGGCAGCTAGAAAGAGTATGATGTTAAGTCATCCATTTAGGAATGGAAGGGCCAGGCACACACCACCATTTACAAATGGAGATTTATTTGTGTGAGATCAGCTGGGGATCAACTGTAGCACATGGTGTGCCCCCACACATCAGTCAAAGTAGAGCACACAGCCAACATGAATTTTTACCCATATGCTTCATAATTACAACTGGTGGAGAGGCACGATCAGCCCTCACTTCAGCTGAGCACAGTTACAGGCACATTGGTGTCTGTAAAAGGAGACGGACCCAGAGCCCTGTGCAGTCCCACCCGCGTCTCTCCGCAGGGTCTTCTTTGGTGGGGTGGGAGTTAGATGGTTTGTATTCGCAGATCAGAGGTGGGGGCTGGGCTTGCTGTTTTCTGCTGATTGTTTTCTATGGACATTGTTAGGACCTTCTGAGAGTAAGCTGTGGCATCCTACCTGGGGAAGAATACTCTCCCAGGGGCCCCACATGGCCAGAGTGGGCTTCTGCTGAATGAAAGAGAGCATTGAGAAACCCCCTTCTGAGATAAAGAAACAAACAAACAACAACAACAGACAGACAGACATAGCTAATTACGGCTCTGTTGAGCAGTGACAAGAATCACAAGATTTAAAATTTCTTGGGGTTGGGGGTGTAGTTCAATAGTATAGTGCTTGCCTAGCATTCACAAAGCCCTGAGTTCAAGCCTCGGTACTGAGAAGGAAGGAAATGTCTTTGTAGTTTTATGAAGTGTTGTCCTTTGTGGCTTCAGTGTCCCACATTCTTACCAGCAAAGGCTGAAGGTTTCTTTTAAAAAGCCCTCAGTTAAAAACACACAGAGTAGGTGGGGTTCTTGTGTGCTAGTGAAAGCTGAAGTTCTGGAGTATCAAAAGGCTGTGTTTCCTGCTACCTCAGTTCATCGGCACAGTTGAGTATCCTAAGGTTTATGATGCACTGAAAGGCCACTCGTGTCTCCTGGTTCTTTGGTGTGTAAGGTGTAAGATTTGGATTCTAGTTCAAGAGCTCTAAGCCATGCACCAGGCACAGTGGTGCATGCCTTTAATCCCAGCACCCAGGAGGCAGAGGTAAGTAGATCTCTGTGAGTTCAAAGCCAGCCTGGTGTACATAGTGAGTTACAGGCCACCCAGAATTACATGGTAAGACCTTGTCTATAAACAACAACAAAGAATCCAAGCCTTCTATTGAATTCTAGAAGAGGCAGAAAGTAGTGCTTACAAAATGTATTTTATGTAGCTCTCATTTTTTTTGTGTGTGTGCACAGTTCTTGGGTGTAAATTGTATTTCTGAAGACGCTTATGATTGCCTGATGTTTTCTTTGGGAATCTCCATTTCCAGGGCACCGATTACAAATCAAGTTGTGGTCAGAATAATGTGTGGAACAGAGAGGCATTTGTGCCACTGAGTGGCTTCCTGGCTGCTAACAAATGCCCAAATGACTGCTGGGCCCTCCAAACCTGGAATTTTCTAGAATAATCTTATTTTTGTACTTGTCCATCCCTTAAGATGTATACCACTGAAAAGGAGTGATATGTCTGGCTCAGTCTGAATAAATAACACTTCCTACTTGGGTTCAGGACTGTCTCTTTAACCTCATGTCCTGCCTCTTGGATCTCAGCTCTGGAATCCATGCAGGTCACAGCCATTATTTCTACTCCCTTCCATGTGGGTTTCTGGAAAATACCGAAGGTAAAGTGAATGGAGAGAAGGCCCAGGTCCAATGATTGAAAGGTAGAACATGCCAGAATAGAAGGAGAGGATGGCCCTGGAGAACCTGAAAGCCAGCCACAAGGCACTGCTCAAGGATGCACAGCCACAGCGTTTGTCCCGGTGTGCCCCCCCATTCTCACTCACCTTGATCACTTCTGAAGCACTCCCGAGTCCTGAACCCTGTCCTGGTGCATTACCATCTGTGCAGTAAGAATGTGGCTTAGTGGTCCAGCCTCTAGAGAAGGCCCCTCTAGGAAGCAGCTGAAAGAGTCATTAAGCCAAACAACAGCATCTGAGAACTGTGATTTAGTTTTTTAAAATAGGCTCTTCAGGGGCTAGGGAGATGACTTAATGGGGGAAGTACCTGCTATGAAAACATGAGGACTGAGTTTGAATCTCTAGCACCCATGTAAAAAGCCAGGTGTGAAAATACAAATATCTCTAATCCCAGGCCTGGGGGGAGGTGGGGACAGAGACAAGAGCATTCCCTGGGCTCGCTGGCCAGCCTGTTTAACTGGAAGAGCAAACTTCAAGTTTGGTAAGGGACTGTCTCAAAGAGTAAGGTGGGGAACAGTAGAGAAAGATGCCCAAAGTTGAGCCCTGGCCACATGGAGACAGGTGAGCACAGCTGCCCCTTTGCACACACACCCATACCCTAAATATGACATGAGAGGCACACAGTATTGTAGACGAATTTCTAAATGGTCTTATTAAATAAAAAACACGGAGCCAAATATAGGGGTGAAAGCCTTAGATGGGGAAATAGGGAAAGCCACCAGGCAACCTTATCCCACCAACTCTGCAGCTTCCAAATGCACATTACTTCCTGTCTACCCACACCTTTATTGCCTCGCTGTTCTGCCCTCTCATTGGCTATCTTAGTCCAGCTACCTCACTTCCTTGTCACTGTGTGTCTGTACAGACCTCCAGGTCTCTATGGTTGGTACTGGGATTACAGGTGTGTGTCACCACGCTTGACTCTGTTCCCTAGTGTGGCCTAGAACACACAGAGACCCTGCCTGCTAAGGGGTTAAGGCCGTGTGCTGCCTGACTTCTTGTTTACTTAAAATGGCTTGCTATTTCCACTGATCTCCAGGCAAACTTTATTAAAGCACAAATAAAATGTCACCACACAGTATAGGCTCTCCCATGACTGTACAGTCTTATTAACAGTATCCACAGGAGGAGGAAATGAAAAATTTTTCAGAGCATTCAAACACATTTGAACTAGTACGGTGGTATACTTCTGTCCTCACCAAGGGTGCAGTGGCTGTGACAGGAGGATTGTCAGTCAAGACCAACTGGGCTACATTGTGAGACCGTGTCTCAAAATACAATCAAAACCTTCATTAGGAAGAGAGGTAGCAGTGAGTCTGGAAACACCCAGGATGCTGTTTTCTATTCACCAGAGAGATACTTTCCTTTTGGTTTGGTTTTGGAAGCCACACTCCCTAGTGAATCCCGTTTTGCAGGTGTGGTTTCACATGTCTGTCACTAGGTGGCGCTGTTGAAAAGCTTTGTGGACAGACCTTAGTTATTTGTAAATTTAGGTAGCTTTCTCAGGTAGCTTTATCAAATGCCTGTTCTTCCACTCTGTTGCTTAAAGGTCCTGCACAAGCTGTTATAGGTCTCCAGATCAAGTTTTATCTTTAAACTCTCTATGTGCATTTGTGCTTGACTGTCATGCTGAAAGGAAAATTGAGGCATAGAAGGATGCATCAAAGTCTCTTAAGTTCTCACTTTTGGGAGTATAATCCATATTTTTTTTAAATGTCATTTTGTTGGACTAGACAGATGGATCAGTGTTACAGGCATGAGGACCTAATTTCAAATACCCAGAACCCACATACAAAGCCAGGCACAGTGATACACATCTGCTATCTCAGTCACAGTGAGATGGGACGCAGAGACAAGAGATCTTCTGGGGAATAGATCTAAGAGGGCTATGTGGAGAAGTTCCAGGCCAGGGAGAGATTCTACTAAAAAAGTAGAAGTTACCTAAGGACTGACACCCAAAGTTGTTCTTCGACCTACACAACACACACACACACACACACACACACACACACACACACACACATTTTAAAGTTTGTCTCTTTACTAGATCTATTGTCTCGACCCCATGAAGCTGCTTTCATTTGATTGAAATGGAAAACCAAAGGGTTTTTGTGTTGTTGTTGTTGTTGTTTTTTAATTTGCTAATTCCGAACGGTAACAAGTAAAAGGTTCAGACTATACAACAGTAAAGGGGTGAGACTAATGGAATGTGCACTGAGGTATTTCTCCCTCAAAGCAACCCTTGGTCCACACCATGCCACTAACATGCAGGGCAGGCTGGAAAGCCTGATTAATAGGAGAATATGGCAAGCTTGTGCCGAGCTTGGTCCAGCCTTGAAAGCCGCCTCTTCAGGAATTTCCTCTTCTCTGTAATGTCACTCCGCTCAGCCAGGAGCTGGCTACAGTTAGTCTTGTCCTGTAAGAGCTGAAGCATGGCTTTCTCCATGTCTTCCCCAAATGTTGGCAGAAGAAAGTACTGGATGATCAGAGAGACCTGTCTCCCGATGCTTCTTCTGCACTCCTAGGAGGAGGGGTTGGAAGTGGAAAGAAAGAGCTGTGAGTGCCAGAGGGACCCAGGTTTCCAAGGGAAGGGACCCTAACAGGTGCACAGAACTGGCCTGGTCTCAGCCCCTTTAGTATACAGACAGATCATGACCTGGCTAGGTATCAGGTTGCTGGGACTCTGCCCTACCGGCTTCCCTGATCATCAGATAGATGGACCTTCAATAGAAAGGGGTAAAATGAGCCAGAAGATGGTCCACAGATAGCCCAACTCCATTTCCAAATGGCAGATCTCTGCTGACAGAATCACTCAGTTGTCTTCATCGAGTCTCCGACTTTACAGCCCCAAGGAGCAGGGCTGTACAAAGTCCCTGGCAGAACTCTGAATTACTTGCTTGAGAGGAGTCGGTCTCCACCTGAGAGGATTTTCTCCCAGCCCTACAGTCTGCCCAACTTTCCCCGTACTTAGACAGGATGGTGTCCTAGAAATGCAGTAAATGGTGGTTCTACAAGGCAAGTACTTCTCTGGAACTCAGTTTCCTTTCCTGGGATGCAGGGATACTATGAGCATAACCCTCTGGGGATGGTTAAGCCAATTCACCATATCAAAGGACACCAAAGTATAAGAAAGTCAGATAGATCACAAGTACCTAGTTGACAGTTCAGGGACATATTGAAAGATTACAGCAGCATAGGTGTAGTTTAGGACCAAAGACAGCTGGAATGTGGCTCATCTGCAAATGGAAGTGGAGAAGAGAGACATCAGGGATGCAGGGGTCCACTCAGGAGGCATGAGGACCTCAGACACCCAGACGTGGACACTTTAGGTGAGAGCAGGGCCACAGCTGGAAAGAAGGACTGATATGTGCAGACACAAACCCCTCACTTCTGCTACAACATGCAGGGAACTTGACATCATGCTCTGAGAAATAAGACAAGCAGGAAGGACAGACACTCAGTGATGTGATTACATTGGAAGGAGGTCCCTAGAGTGGTCAGACTCCCAGATAGAAAGTAGAAAGGGGGCAGCTGGGGGTGAGAGCACTAGAGTCAGTGTTTAGTAGAGATAATCTTGTTTGTGGCAGATGAAAAGTTCTGGAAGGGCACGGTGGCAATGGAAAGGTATTTAATGTCTCTAAATTGTTGCACCAAACAGTAGTTGAAGTGGAACAGTTTGTGTTGTGCATGCTTTACCACAATTAAAGCAAAGAAGATTAAATAAGCCATGGGGTGCCAAGAGGCCAAGCTGCATGATGCACTAGACACAGGAGCTGCCCCAAGGGACCACACTGCCTTTGACATACTGAAAAACCACCCAAGAAGCACCACAGTAACTAGGAAACTCAGTGTACAGGTCAGAGGCACACATGGCCACAGGGCCTTTCAGCGTGAGGGCCAGAACATTCTCCAAGGACACATGCCAATACCTGAGGCTGCTTGATGCTAAAGGCTAAGAAGTCCAGGTAGGTTAGAGGTGTAAGGAAATTCTGAAGCACCTTAGAGTCTGAGGCAGGAGGACCCCCAGGAGTTTGAGGCCACCCTGGGTCTTGTGAGTGACAAAGCAGCCTAGGCTACAATATGAGATCTCACCTTTAAAAAAAAATTAATTAATAAAGATCTGAAGTGACTTAAGAGGTACAAGAAGATCCTAAGAACTTTGCTAAAGCCCCAGAAGACAAAGTCTGTTTAAAATATAGCAAACACAAGGCTGAGAAAATAGCCCTCCCACTACTGAGCTGGGTCTGTTTAGGGCTAGTGCTGTAGAGTGGTTTATGAAGATGAATAATCCAAGCTGACCCTGCGAGGTAGCCCACTTTGTCACTGAGGCCCCTGGCGGTCAGTTAACATTCCCTGTGAGGAAGGAATCCTCCTGGCCTCAGGAATTTGCTGATGGATACTTTACACACATACTCCTACACAGAAAACTGCACTGAAGGAGAGGAAGTAGCCTGGAAGTCTGGCTCTGGGCCATTCCCACACTTACCTCGTAGTAGGCATTCGGGTGCTGGCTCATCTCAGTGGTAGACAAGTCCTCTTGAGGAGCTTGAGAGTTACACTGAAAGTTAAAATTATTCTCTTCTTCCTCAGCTTCTTTCTCTTTGACCTCCTTCAGGGCTCTCCTGTAAACTTGTTCCTGGCAGTAGACGATCTGCTCCATCTGGATGTGAAGTTGGATCAGCTTTTCAGTTTTTTTTTTTTTCTTGATTTAATCTGATGTCTTCAATTTTGGACTGCAAGGAGAGAAAAGCAGTCAACAGCTTGTTGTGGGATATTTTACACTATGTGAAGATGTGTTGTGATTGATGTAATAAAGAGCTAAATGGTCAATAGCTAGGCAGGAAGAGGTTAGGCAGGACTTCCAGGGACAGAGAGAACTCTGGGAAGAAGAAAGGCAGAGTTGCCAGCCAGACTTGGAGGAAGCAGAATGGGCAGTAAGGAGATTAGGTAATGCCACATGGCAGAATGTAGATTAATAATAATGGGTTAGTTTAAGTTACAAGACCCAGTTGGGACAAAGCCTAAGCTAATGGCCAAGCTTTCATAAGTAATATGTCTCTGTGTCATTATTTGGGGGCTAGAGACCCAAAGATATTTTGACAGGGAAGCTTGCTACAACAACCATCAAGAAACACATGACACAGAATAAAAACACAGGATGCCTGATGTGTCCACATGCATCACCACCCAACAAGAACAAACGCAGGTATCACCTGGGAACAGCCCCTGGACCCCTCACTCAGTTCATCCATGCTATCCTACCAGCTGAGGGTGGGAACCAGGGGATGCCTGAGCCAGGTGTGGGTTGGCCCGTGCTGTGATGGTCAATCTTCAATGCCAACTCGACTGTATTTAGAATCACTCGGGAGACTAATCTCTGAGCATGAGGGTGTTTCCAGAGAGGTTTGACTGAGTGAAATGGGAAGACCCACCCTACTGAGGGCAGCACTATCCCCTGGCTTGGGGTTCTGGACCTAATAAACTGGAGGAGGAGCTGAGCAGCAGCTCTCCTTCTTCCCTGCCATGGTGGACTGTATCCCTCAAACTGTAAGCCAAAGCAAACCCTTTGTCAGGCTGACCTTGTTACACGCTTGTCACAAGTAAACATCTGTCAAGGAATGCAGAGAATGGCAGACAGGTTTCTTCCATTTTATTATATTTCATGTTCCTGTGGGATAGCCAGAGTAGGTTCACTTCCTCTACATGGAACCATGTTCCTGCCTAACAAGGCTCTTTGGGCTGTGGGTTTCAATGTCTCACCTCTGAATTCACCCCCCTCCCCTCTTTCCCTTCTCATGTCTATGGTGATATTTTATTTGTATTAAAATGTTACATGTCTGCTTTAACCAGAAGAATCATTGTCTTGAAGACACAAACATAAACTTGAGTCTTCATTTCTCTGAACAGACACAAGAAAGTTGAAATGGTCCCTAACCAAGAAATCATGCTTATTTATTTTCTTTTAAAAATAATATGTTGTTGGATTTACCTTGACAGTACTGCAGAGGTTAAAAAATTCACCAAAATTGTTTAATGAAACCTTTGTGAAGGCGGATCGGACCATGTCTGATAAAAGAGGGAAAAAAGTTCAATATTGACAAGACCATCTGTATTCTGTATAGACTGGGGGTGGGTGAGATTAACATGGCTAAAAACACATCCCCTCTCTGTTCCCTCTCTGCCTTATCCTCTTCTCCTTGTGAAGAGGAGGGTGTGCTCTGTGGCTGAGGAACTCTGCAAATACCTGAAACTTCACTATCTCTGGGCATGGATTATGCTCTGTATCCTAACAGGGAGGAATTTTCTAACAGAGGATATTTCTAGCAAATTATAAATATAGCAATTCCTTGTCTAAAACCTGTTACCTCCATCTCATTCCTGTCTGTGAACACTAAGTGCCCAGTTATCTGCTTGAAATAAACCTAAGAGGCATTTACAGAAGTTGGAAAGTTAACTTTAGTTCCTTTACTCTGGAGAATTTGCTTCTGTCTGTGAAAGTTGTCATATAAACCACTAACGCCTAGATGTCATGCAGGACAGGTTGTGGACATGATCACCTGATACAAGCCAGGGTACAACCTCTGGTGTTGAACTTCAGGCACTGTTTAACTTTCTTTTTTAAAGAAGCAGGGTCTCTAACTGGCCTGGAGCTTGCAAGTAGGACAAGGTAGCTATCTAGTGAGCCTCAGATCCACCCCCAACATCCCCATCTCTGGATCCACAGTGCTGGGATTATAAGTGCATGTTACTACATTCAGCTTTTTATGTGGGGTTATTTTCTCAAGCCCTCATGCTTTCAAGGCAAGCTCTTTAGTGAATGAGCTACCTCTATAGTCCTTGTGATCTGAAATCTTATGTCATCCTCCCCATTTTTGCATTTAAAAAAACTTCCATTTGCCTCAGTTTCCTCACATCCATTCAACGTTGACAGTAGTGCCAGGTTCTCTGCTGCAACTCTGTGCTAGGAGGGAGGAACACCCCAACCCCACAGTGACAAAGCCTTTGCCTCCTCTCCAATTTCCACATAGTACACAATGTCAGTGAAGCCTGTGCCCAAGTTTTGTGATGACCAAACCTGAGGAGAGGTTTGCAAGAACCCAGATTTAGAGAGGGCCAGCCAAGGGAATGGGAGGCCTCTGAGTGCTGCTGTATTGAAGGACAGTCTTTAGGAACCTGTGGGGTCTGTGCCAATTCCAGGTAGCCAAAAGTGCAGGAGATAGTCAAGGTTCAACTGGGGCTTCAGCTGGACAGCAGAAGTGAGTTGGCACTGCACCCAGGAGACATGGCTACTGTCCATGCGGGGAACAGAGAGGAAACTGAGGCAGGACCACTGCAATGGGTAAGGACCAACTTCACTTTGCATGAAGAACTCTGGCTGTGCTCTTGGGGAGGTCCAGCTAAGGGCCTAGGAGGTTAGGTGACTCTGCCCTCTGACAGCAAATCCCTGTGCCCAGAGGGTCAGAATGGACTGACTTCCTGACCACCACAGTGGCATCTAGAGCACAGAAAACCTGCCACCTACCTAGACCCAGCCCTAGAGGACAGCTCTGAGGTATAGAGCTGCCTTTGCTGCTGATGGTCTCCTGCTCCAGAAATAAAATAGCAAGAGTGACAGCAGCATTCCTCAGTGACATTGTGTGACACTCTCCAGTGACCCTGTACAGCACTCCCCAGTGACTCAGTACAGCACTCACCAGTGACCTTGTGTAGCAAGACCACAGCAGCTCTTCTAGGGCTTTTATTGGGTTTTTGATGATACTCTCAAATGTCTTATAGTTCACAAACCCTGGCAGCTCCCGGCCATGATACTGGTTTTCTTTTCTTTTTAAAAATTTATTTATGTATAGTGTTCTGCCTGCATGTATCCTTGCAGGCCAGAAGAGGGCACCATGTACCACTATGTGGTTGCTGGGAATTGAACTCAGGACCTCTGGAAGAGCAGTTGGTGCTCTTAACCTCTGAGCCATCTCTCCAGCCCCAATACTGGTTTTCAAATACTTGGATCTGTCTGTCTATCTCAGCAGAACCTAGAGTTAGAGTTGAAAGAAACCGTCTTTCAGGGTTTCTCGTTTTGTTTTGTTCTGTTTTTTTTTTTTTTTTTAATAATTAAACCAACTCTGGTCTTTCTGAAAAGATGAGTACCTAGAAAAAATGAAATGAGATAAATGTTAATATGTTCCTTTAAAACTACAGTAAGAAAACTGTGTCAAAGGTCACTTCCCTCAGTTGAGACAAAGTGGAATGCAGAGCCAGAGACCACAGCAGAATATAGCAAGAGGAAACCAGGGGAATATATGATCTCAAAACAACCTTGTGTATGAGGGTTTATGAGTCAATTTGGATTTGACCAGAGAAGAAGGGTCAAAGCACACTGTAGGAGGCAGCGGGGGAAACAGATAGGCACCTGGAGGGCCCAAGTGTACATGAAGCAAGATGCTTAGTTCCTTCTCCTTACTTCCAGAACAACTTCTGTGAGAGACATCCCATCAGGAACAGAGCCTTCCCAAGGCTTCCCTTGTAGACCTGACTGTGTGCTATCCTGTCTCAGGAGGGAAAGTGGTCCCATAGGAAATGCTTATGCTGGCATTTCACATGCAATAGAACTCATTTACAGTGGGCATGCCAGTGACTTCTAGCATATCACAGGCCTATGCTGTGACCCAAAGTGCCTGTGTCTGACACATTTCTGTCACCGTGAGGAACTGTCACTCTCCTGGAAATCAGCCCCTTCTGCTCTTCCTTCTCTCCAGCCCTATAGTTGTGGCTGTGCTTTTTGTCTACCCATGACACATGCCATGTCTACCCAGACCACATGCCATGTTTATCTGCTCTCTATTCAAGGAGCATAGATTCTTCTAAAAGCCATGAATTAACTATGGTGATCAACCTGCATTTTTTTCTAGATGTCCTTAAGAATCAAGAATAGATAGCTTAGGTTCTGTGACTCAAAGCAGAGCAAATATGGCTCCTGTGTCCACACTCCTGCCATTCTTATCCCCTACATAACACTCCAAAGTCTCTCCCAAATCCCAGGTCCATGATGGTCCCTGGAGTCACTGCTGTGGGAGGACCATGTCCCCCTAGTTCATAAGCTGAACTTCATCCCTACTGTGCTGGCACTGAAAGGTGGGCCTTTAAAAAGTGACCAGGACATGCTGACCTCACCCTCAGAGATGGGATGTGTGTCCTCAGAACAGAGGCCAAAGGAAGCTGGCTCTCATCTTTCACACATGAGGACCAGGCTAGATAATACCATCTTGGGAGCAGACATGGAGCCCTCACCAGACACCTTATCTTCTGGTGCCTTGACCTTGAACTATGGGCAAGACCTTTTTTTTGCCTGTAGCAATCAAATTCAAGTTACTGAAGTGCCAAGTACACCAATCCAAATGGACACTCACTTTTTTTTTGAAATGTTCCTCAATATAATTATCCCAATTAAGAAACTCCTTTCTCAGGTTGGTAAACAGCCAACTGCCTCCCCCTGATACAGTTTCCTGTGCTTTTACCAAAGCAGTGATATCCTTATTGAAGGCATTAATTTTCTGTGAAGGAGATAATTCACATACAAGGATCAGGTAAGTAGAGGACATACACACCCACATGATTGTTGAGCCACATGAAATACTGGGGATAAATGTCTTTGGCATCAGGAAATCCTGCCCCTTCCTCCACGCTCCCCAGTCCTCACCAGCTCCACCCTGCTTTCATCCACTAGTGCTGGTCCTTCTTGTAATACTAGTGGTACACAGAATGTGTTTCTATCCATCTTAGGAGACTGAAGACAGAAGAGATCCCTGTAAGATAGTGATGTAGGAATCCTCCATGGGAAGTCACAAGTGATACCTACATCAATCAGAAAGAACATTCTCTTGTTACTGTCTTCTGGTATATCTATGCCATACTTCTGAAGCTCCTCAATTGTACTCTGGTGACTCTTATTTATCTGATTTTCCAATAGTGGGAGCGATTTCTGAAATAGAAAAAAATGGAGTGGGTCATAGACATACAGATTGGGAATGCAAAGGAGGACCAAAGCTACTCAGAAACATGGCTGTGACAGAAGCTGTTCATCCCCTCACTCTGTGTGGACCTTCTCATGGCTCTTTGGCAAGTGAGCCTTGGCAGACAGGATTTCCTGCCCATGCCTGTGACATTCTGACAGCCTCTGAAGGCTTCCTAGGTGCACAGTAGTGCTTTAGAGGAACTCTCTCCACCCAGGTCTACCTATACACCTGCCCTGGGCATATAACTCTGTAAAATTGCCCACTGCACATGGTTCCTGCCTAAAGAAACCACCTAGAGACAGTTCCTTACACATCAAAACATAAACTCTCTGCAGAGACACTCCACAGAGTGCCTAATATTAGCTTCTGAGACAAGAGCAGCTGGACTAATATGAGACCCTTCATTCAACTCTTGTGTTATTTTCAACAGATCTCTACAACTTGCTGTCCTCAGGCATCTCAAGGCACAGAGTTCAGCAAGAACAGGCCTGCCTCTGTCTGCATCAAGGAGATCCAGAGAGGGTCACTCAAGATCTTGGTGCTCAAGATCTGGCTCAGCAGAACCTAGAGTTAGAGTTGAAAGAAACCGTCTTTCAGGGTTTTTTGTTTTGTTTTTTTGTTTGTTTTTTTGTTTGTTTGTTTTTTAATTAAACCAACTCTGGTCTTTCTGAAAAGATGGGTACCTAGAACAAAATGAAATGAGATAAATGTTAATATGTTCCTTTAAAACTACAATAAGAAAACTGTGTCAAAGGTCACTTCCCTCAGTTGAGACAAAGTGGAATGCAGAGCCAGAGACCACAGCAGAATATAGCAAGAGGAAACCAGGGGAATATATGATCTCAAAACAACCTTGTGTATGAGGGTTTATGAGTCAATTTGGATTTGACCAGAGAAGAAGGGTCAAAGCACACTGTAGGAGGCAGCAGGGGAAACAGACAGGCATCTGGAGGGCCCTGATGTCCACCTGCATCCTGGGAGCTGCAAGAAGACCTTGAACACAGGAGGAGCCCAGGGGAAGATCACTGCTGAGTTTCTTTCCACAGCCAGTCCTCATGCAGATCTAGACACTAAATCCACATGTGCTGAGTATTCTCAACACTCCAGGTGGAGAACTAAAGTGGTTTGAGATGCAGACTCCACTAGGTCAAAGAAAAGTGAATATGGCTTCTATCTGAAGAGCCCATTTGAACTCAAGCTCTCCAGATCAGCTCCAGAATGAGGGGTTCACAGCTATGCCACCCAGAACCTAAGGGTGACAGCAACAGGAACCAGCACAAAGCCTTCTGTTGCTGGAGTTACCAACTCCCAAATACCACATGTCTGTGCAAAGAGATCTTGACCAGCTTGTGGGCCCAGGGACCATCCCAGTCCCAGCTCAGGTTTATGAAGACACAACCACCCAGGCTTACACAGATGTGTGAGATGAGCTCTGTGGTCAGTCTCTCTGCCAGAAGAGGCACTGTGGCCTTCCCATCCTCCAGAAGAATGCTGAGGGAACAAGAGAGAGGATTCCATTAGACTGAGCCAGAACACAAGTCTGCAGCCTGCTGTGGGGAGGCCAGGGCCAGTCTGGGTACTTTCAATGAATGGGTATCTTGAGATTGGTATTCATGGAGTACTCAGAGAAGGTTTTGTATAATGATACAGGGGAACCAGCTAGGATAGTTCTACAGTGGGCTGCAGTGATCCTCCTCAGCTCATTAATAATCAGAGTAAAATCTGTTCTCCACAAAACATATGTACACAACTACAGATAATGTTATCATGGCACAATATCCCATTCCATGTGTGATACACATGAATACACATGCACACACCTTCTGTGTGACACACACAAATATACACACATATCCTTCTGTGTGTGATATGTGAGTACACACACACACACATACACACACACACACACACACACACACACACACACACGGTTCCATATATAATACACATTTTGGTATACATGCACCCATCCATACAGTCTATACATATTGCTGCAAGCTGCAAGAATATATTATAGAGATTCAGCTATATAAAAAAAAGCTATACCTAGAAAGATCAAGGAATCTTTTCTAGAGGGAAGTCATTTATCAAGGAATATTTGGTGTTATTCAACTTTAAATATTCAGCTGTTTCTTGACATGAATTTCTTGTGCATTCTTATACTACCAGACCATATGGCAAACAGTGTAAGCTTCTCAGACCTTCTGCTGATCTACTAGTTAACACCCCTACAGAGCCTAGGAGACAGGTGGACTATAGATGCATAGCTTTGTTTCTTGTGCAAATGAAGCTCAGACTTTCCTTCCCCAGACTGGCCAAATGGCATTCCAGAACATTTGACTCAGCACAAAGGATTTTTGCATATCCAGGTGTGAGTGAAGGCTGGGGCAGAATTCCAGGTCCAAGCAGAGTAGCCTGGCCAGAGGAGAGGAGAACAAGGCAGAGTTTCTGTAGATGGTAGGGCAGAGTCACATGGCCTGAGAGAAAGGAACAAAATAGATCTTTTATAGAGAATGAGGATTGGGTCAGGTCAAGAGAGTAGGAAGAGAAGAAATGAGCATGGATGGAGAAACTGAAGACGAAGATGAGATTGAAAGCATAGGAGCTTACTAAAACTGTGAGAGGATAGGAAAAGAAGGGGCAGAGAGGAGCTGAGTGTCATGATGGAACTGAGGCTGTATAGATAGAATTTTGTTATAGAGAAATAAGGTAAACGAACATAAGAAACTAATGTACATAGATTATTTTCCCTCAGATAACCCCACGCCAGACATAGCATCTTCCCTAGGATTCTGGGAAGGATTTTCTCATGGAAGGCTCCTAAGAAAATTCCAATAATACATAAGTATATACACTAATGGATAACATACATGAATATACACAAAGCATATCGATCCAGATCTTCATACACTGGGTAGAGGTAACTCCCTCCAGCTCTTATCATTTGAGTTCAATCCCTGGATCCACCAATTCCCACAAGTTGTCCTCTGTTCTCCACAGGTGCACTGTGGTGCCTGTGCATGTGCATGCACAAACTACCCCCCCCCACACACACACACACTCCTCGGGTGAGGTCTGCTCTTGACAACTGTTCATCCTTACACTCTGTGGACTTTACCATGGCTCCTATGACAGTGAGTCTCAGCAAATATGATTTGCTCCCCATGCTTGCGACTCCTCATGCCTTTCCTACTGGGGAGATGAGATGAAGGGATCACTTCTTCCCTCCTCAGTGGGACCCTGGGTGTGAACTAATATTGGTCCATCTGGATCCAGGGCTTGTGTCCTCACTAGCAAACCAACATCACTGTTACCTCCCACTCTCCTACCTATGGTCCTGTCTCCTTCAGGGTCCACCTCCTGAGCCATGCTCAGTGCCTCCGTGGTGGCAATGTCCACATTACTGGGGACCACCACCAGGTTGATGGTCTCCTGTTTTTGGATGTATGTCTTGATGAGTGAGAGAAATGAGATGGTGACTCCTAGTTATGGAAACAGAATTCAGAGTGAGGTGCTATGACCATTCACTTGCTTACGGCCCTGGCTTCCATGGACTGCATCCCTCTGTAGTGAATCCTGGCCATCCAGTCTCACTCCCACCTCCTCAAGGTCCCTCTTAGACATATCCTTGGACACACTCCAGTGTCCCTTGCATCCCAGTGTAGGTCAGAGTGGAGTCTAGAGTCTCACCTGGCATCCGATGTCTGCGGGCTGATTGCCTACAGCCACCCTGGTGATGCCAGGCAGATCAATTAAAGTCAGGTCTGGGACATTCGGGGAGCTGACCTCCAGGCTAATGAGCTTACTGCTAATCATCAGCCCATTCCCAGCAATGAAGTTCTGGGCTGGGAAGAGGAAAAAGAAACAGTGAAGTTTAGGGGGCACATTGTAATACAGAGACTTCTGGGGAAATATTTTGTGATTTGGGTATGAAATGTTTCTGTTTTGAAAGATTGGGTGTCTGTGAAATTATGTTGAAAGGTTCCAGAAGCTTGGGAGATTGGCTCTGACTAGAAGTAGTAGAAAACTATGAGCAGGCCGTGTGTGTTTTATATATTATGTCTGCCCCTTCCTGTAGTCCTTTCTGCTTCCTATCCGCCAGAAGGTGAGGAACTTGCTCTGGGCAGAGAGGGACGTTCTTCGTCAGACCCTTCTGGCACTCTCAGGGAAGAGCTACATGTGCACCATAAGGATGGTGAAAGTCCAGGGAATCCCTCAAGCATGAATGGACATCCAGGAGGGAAATGAGCTCACCCTGGTTAGGAGGCACCCTGGACCCAGGTGTCTGTCCACACGTGGCATTCGCCCCCTTGCCCTTAGCAACAGAAGCTAGGATAGAAGCGTTGCATCGAGTCGTTATCTAAAGTCGCCCTGCTCTGCTCAGCAGTCAGTTGTTCGAGACGTTTTCTTCTGATTAAGAATGTAAGCTGGAAACACAAGTGGCATGTGTAACAGGGTTTATTTGTTCCAAGGGCCACTTACCCTAAATGAGGTCATGAAATTAAATGGCAATGTTCTAGATCCCATAGGCCTAAGTGTGGGAAGGCTCCAAATGTGGAAAGGTATAGTAGAACAGGCCCATAGGGTTGAGGAAATTAGCTCAGACCAGCTGCCAAGGCATGCACATAACATACTCCTTATGAGCCAACCTGAAGTCTGCCTGAGGGCCTAGCAACAGGAGCTGTCAGAGTTCTTGATTGATGTGTCCAGCCAATGAGGGACGACCACACAGACTGGGTGCTGAGAGAAGGGTATATAAGACCTTCTGTGTTATTGAATAAATGAGTTAGTTATTTACCCTCAATGGACTCCCAGTGTCTGTGCCATTGACACTGCGCCTTTTCACCCCGTCACCTGAGGGAGCCATTAGAATCTGAGCAACAGAAAGGCCCAGAAAGCAGAGAGTGTGAACAGTCATGGGGAGTCCTTCTCTACGCCCTGACCAGAATGGGGAGCAAATGTGGGCATGTACTTACCTTTATTGACTTCCCCTTCCACCTGTGAGGGGTCTGAGATCTCAACCTCAGTTTTCTTGTAGGTGACCTTGCCTCTCCACTCCTCTCCATGCTCCAGTTGCTTCAGTTTCAGCACCAGAGGACGATACCTAAGATACAACAGCCATATCAGTCTTGTGCTTTGACATAAAAGGCCTTAGACAAATGGCTGTCACTATCTCACAACACTCATCTGAAAACCTAAACCTCTCTGGTCTCATGCTCATTGCCCTGATGCCTTAAGTCCAGGCTGACCCCAGGCCTATGTACTGGGGCCTGGATGACTTTTGTGCATTTCTGTTTGAAAGCTACCATCGGCCTGAGGCTCCTTCTTCCTCACAATGTGGTACCCTGTTATGAAATATTATTTTAAGATGTGTTACATTTGTTTATGCTGTGGAACATTTGTTTGAATGATGCAAAGCTGTGTTGCATTCTTTTATGTTGCATTTGTTTAACTCTGTGAAGCTGTGTCACTTTGCCTGTCTAAAACACCTGATCGGTCTAATAAAGAGCTAAACGTTCAATATCAAGGCAGGAGAGAGGATAGGAGGGGCTGGCAGGCATAGAGAATAAGTAGAAGGTGAAAAAGAGGGATGTGAAAGCAAGAGAGATTAAGGAGCAAGAAAAGAATGGGCCAGCCACTTCGCCACACAGCCAGACACAGAGTAAGAGTGAAAGTAAGGTTACAGAAGTAAAAAAAGGAAAAAGCCCAGAGGCAAAAGGTAGACAGGATAATTAGTTAAGAAACGCTGGCTAGAAATTAAGCCAAGCTAAGGCTGGGTATTTATCAGTAATAAGTCTCCATGTGTATTTATTTGGGAGCTGGATGGTGGGCCCCCCAAAAGAGTAAAGAATAAAAACAACCAACAATACGCCCCCTTGTGTTTATTAGGTTGTGGGTTTTTTTTTTGTTTGTTTGTTTGTTTGTTTGTTATTTGTCAACTTGAAACAAGCTAGAGTAATCTGGGAAGCGGGAACCTTAATTGAGAAAATGCCTCTGTCAGACTGGGCTGTTGGTAAGCTGTAAGGCCTGTTCTTGACTAATGATTGATATGGGAGGGCCCAGCTCACTGTCAGAGGTGATTCTAGATGCTATAAGAAAGCAGGTTGAGCAAGCCATGAGGAACAAGTCAATAAGAAGCACCCCTCCATGGCTTCTACACACCCACTCACTACATCCCTCAGGATGCTTTACAGTCCCCTATTACAAACTTCTGCCAATTCCTATCTGCCTGTCACATCTCACCAATAGTGCTAGAGCAGCTCAGCTCTAGCCTCACTGAGCCATCACTGACCTCCTGGGCCTTGAAACTCAAACAGCATCCCTAACCTGAGCACCAACCTTTATGTGCTTAGGGGATGGGCCATTCACAGGAGGGGCTCAGAAAGAAATCATGCACATATAGTTCCGGGTACTTAGTTGATCTTCTACAAACTGAGGTTCCACAAATGCACAATGGAACAGTGCAATGGACTAAAGCTGCCCCCAACCCCAGCACATAGGTTCAGCCCCAGCACCTACAGTCACTGTTGGATACAGAGCCTGAAAAGAGGTAACCTAGGCTGAAGGAAGGCTTGAGAAGCTGCATGGGTGGAGCCCCAACCACTGAGACTGGTGCCCTTATGAGAGGAGGAAGAACCTGCAGGCTGCTCAGGGGAAAGGCTGCCCATAGTCAAGGAGAAAGACCACCTTGACCTTCATTCTGCTGTGGGCCCAAACTGGGAGGGATCTATCTCTATCTTTGAGCCCCAGGTCCACAACCTAGCAAGGCAATAAGCATGAGCTCTCATCATTGCCTCTGGGGAGGGCCACTCCTGACAGTGCTTCTAGCACAGAGCTCTTCCCTGAGCTCTGGTCCCCAATGACTGCCATGGCAGGCAGGGCCAGGTCCTGCTCCACGCCCAGGGCCTGTAGGGAGTCGATGAGGTCGATGCAGGGCCGCACCTTCTCCTCATACTGCCTGCAGAGGTTGTTCAGGGACTCCTAGATGAGGGCAAAGCAAGAGTGAGGTCATGGAAGTGCTCCTGCAAAGACTGATGATTCAAGCACAGTTATGCACAGTGTCAGAATCCTCAAGATGGTGATAAATGGACAGAAAATATCTGAAGAAACAATAAATGTGGATTCCTCAATCTTCATGACAACCATAAAGATCTAAGAAAATCAACAAAAGTCAGACACAGGACACACAAAATAAGCTCCCGGGCCCATTAGAATCAATCTGTTCCAAACTAGTCATAACAAAAGGTATTTTTTAAACTAACCAGAAAGGAACTGGAAAAAAAATGACTCAGAGGTTAAGAGCACTTTCTGTGTTTGCAGAAGACCCGAGTTCATCTCCAGGCACCCACATCAGGTGGCTCACAACTGCCTGTAACTCAAGTTTTAGGGGATCCGATGCCTTATTCTGGCATCTTTAGTCACCACACACATGTGGTACACAGACATACATGCAGGTACACACATATGCACATAAAACAAAAGTAAAATTTTTTAATTAGCTAGAGGAGTTAGAGAGATGGCTCAGCATTTAGAGCACTTTGTTTTGGTAGAGAATGTGGCCTTGGTTCCCACCACCCACATGGTGGCTCACAACCATCTGTACCTTACAGGGGATAAGACCTCTCTCTTGTAACTTCATAGGTATCAGGCATGTATATGGTACCCATATACACATTCATACAAAATGCACACAAAACAAAATTACACACACACACACACACACACACACACATATATATATATATATATATATATATATATATATATATATATATAAATTTTTCAGGTTGAGAGGAACAAAAACCAGCTTAACAGCTGTTTTTGTTTGCTTGTTTGTTTGTTTGTTTTATCAGAAAGAATGCAAGTATAGAGACAATGGGGTGATTTTTATTTTTTTTTAGTGCTGGGAATTGAACCCAGGTGTTCCATGCTGTACCACTGAGCTATATATCCATTCCACAGTGTTCTAGGATTACTGACAAAACACCACCATTATATATCTAGTAAAAGTATCTTTTGAAATGGAAGAAGGATCTATATACAAATGATTTGGAATATGCTTGGGACTAGTGTGTCTCCAAGCCAAAACTTGGCAGTTGCTCTATAAGCATCCTATAAGAAGCCGTGGTGCTGTGGAACAATCTTTTTGTACACAGTGAATATTTGTTGCTCTCACTGGCTTACTAAAGGGCTAAATGTCCAATAGCTAGACAGGTAGAGGTTAGGTGGGACTTTCAGACAAAAAGAGAGTGCAGGGAAGAAGGAGGGTAGAGTCACCAACCAGATGCAGAGGAAGCAGGAGATGACTATGCCATGCTGAAACAGGGTATAGCCACATGGTAGAGCATAGATAAGAAATATGGGTTAATTTAAGTTGTAAGAACTAGTTAGTAACAAGCCTAAGCTATCAACTGAGTGTATATAATTAATAATAAGTCTCTGAGTGGTTATTTGGGAGTTAGCAGGCAAGACAGAGAAAACTCCATCAACATCGTGGAGGTTTATATTTTATGTTAAGGGTTATTAGCTAGTTTGGATTTTTTTTAATGAGACAGGATGAGGGTTTATGTTAGTGGTAAATATTGAGGAGGGCACTGATCACTTTGCACATGTTCTCTCTCCTCACCCACTTGATAGGGCAGTTAGAACAGGTACTGCTGTTGTTACTAAGCCCTATAATATAAGACAAGAGAACTGAGAGTTGGAGAGTTAAGCAACATTGCCAACATGTAATGGCCAGTTTGGGATTCAAGCAAAGCAACCTATTGCCTGCCCACTCTTAATTTCTCTCCTGAGTTGCTTTCATGAAATCATACATATGATTACTAAATACACACAGGTTTTTCAGATAGCAAAATACAAACTCATCCCCAGCACACCAGCACTGCAGGAACTGTGAAAAGCATTCTATATGCAAAGAATCTTGAATCCGTACAGTGGATCAGAGGCCACAAGTGCTGACTGCAATTGTTTCTTATGAATTGATCATCCTTAAATTATGCCTGAGCACAAACAACAGCAACGCATTGTGGGGTTTCTGGTTAATAGAAAATAAAGGCCATGACAGATAGGATAGAGGGTGACAATGACACATGGAATCATATTCCTATTAATTATACCTCCTACACATTAAGTGGTATTGTGTCACCCAGAGGTGCTATCTATATGCCTATCAAATTTTTAAAAGGACATTAAAAACACCAAAAGAACAGTCAACAGAGAGCATGGACTGCATTCACAAAATACAGTGTTTAATCAAAAAAGGTGAAGAATATTAGGAAAGGGGAAAACAAAGACTTAACACAGAAAGCAGACAGCACTGTGTTCTCAACCAATAACACCACATTAAATATAAATGGCTTAAATATTGCTCCAACAGGCAATTGCTCTGAAAGGACCACAAAGAGTGAGGATGGCAGCCCCTGGTCCCAAGATGTTGAAAAAACAGCAGCAACAGGGCATGGTGTCCTTTCCATGACAGAACAGGAATTAGTAGAGCAGAGTACACCACCCTGAAAGTCACCACATGGAACTGGTGTAGACAAGGTGCAAAGGCATTGCGGGGGAAGCAAGGACTTTTGCCAAGCTGTGTCGGATCACTTCACTATATTATACTTAAAATACTAAACATCTGGTTGAAAAAATGCAAATACAAGCCATAGTCAAGGAATAAATATTTACAAAGCATGTATCTGAGCAAAGATGTGTACCTGAATATATCAAGAATTCTCAAAACTTAACAATAATGAAAATATACCACATGGCTTCTCCAGGGAGGTAATGTCACAATAAGACCTCACAGGGGTATAGCTGCAGACTGAACCATATAGAGAAGGAACAATATATCACATTCAGGACTCAGGGCTCTGCCAGTCCCCAATAACCCCCTGGTTTCCCAGACCAAGATTGCAACTAACAATATTCAGTGAAGGAGATAGATAGGCCATTGTTCTCAGCTTGGTCCAAGCAATGTAAGCAGCTGACCAAGATCTCCATCTTGCCCCCAAAAGATAAGAAAGCCACTTTATCAGAGAAGCAGCAGCCTTCACTCCTTTCTAGCACCCCACACCCACTCCTAACTGCAGATCCACCCTGTTCTCAGGTGGACACAGCTCGTGTCCTATGGAGAATGGCTTTTGGTAGCAGCTCACCATTGCCTGGCTGTCCTTAGAAGCATCAGGATGTTCAGGTGGGTTCAGGTGACTGGATGCAGAAGTCAGCTCTTTCTTATTGACTTTCCATGAAGAACTCATTCTCATATTTTTCCAGGTGGATTTGTGGTGGAAGTAAAGGGTTTGATTCAGAATAGTCTCAAAGCACTGCCACTGGCTGGGCCCTTGACTAAGAAACACAAAAGAGACACCAATATGTAGAACTGCCCTTCCTTCTCTGTCCACCCCAGTGGCCTGTGCTTCCAGCAGCACCTCATCATTTCCTCTTCTGGAGAGGGGTTGAGATGCATTCTTTGTGTGAGTTAGGAGGGGGAATCACAAAAGAGGAGTGATTCTAAAGGTACTCATGGAGTCTGTCAATCAAAGAATTTTGTCCAGACATAACTCTTACCTCCCCTGCCTTTGGAAAGACCTCAGATTTCCAGAAGATCTCAGACTCTAGAATGAAGACCCCTTCACCCTCAATTTCTTCCATGGTTGTCTCAGTTGGTCTTATTGCACAATCAGGTGCAATCACTGGTCCCCAGGGCTTGTGTCCCATGACAAAGGATTCCACATGACCACTCTACAACAGGATTTGGAGAAATATTTCCTCTTTTTCTTTCTCTGGTATGTAACCCCTGGGTTGTGTCCGCAAACCACAAGTATATCTAGTTATACTTTCAATCCAAGAGGAAGACATCTGCTCATCTAGATCTTGTTCCAGTCAAAGGGAGGAAACCCCCAGCTTCAGCACCACCCCATTTGTGGTGGACGCACAGGGCACCTACACCTCCACACCTTCTCTTAACTCTTCTCTACTGCAGAGCCCATTGCACAGAGACCCTCAGGGCAGCCCCACCACATTTCATGCAGGTTCCTGCCTATTTAAAGGTCATGGTCAGACATACACAAGTGACCAGGTATGCTGTTCTCTAAGCATTCCTATCCAGGCATACCTGTGCCCATTTGTACTGTCCTTGGGGTGGTTGGCTACACTTCCACTCTATAGTAGGCAGTGGGTATTTGCCAATGGCCTTCATGTGCCATATACCATTTATTATGGACAAAGATCCAATGGCAGGGCTCCTCTGGGTTTCTGTCCTGTTGGGAAAGCATCCTCAGCCCAGTTGGAAAGAGAAGCAGCATGGGAATAGGATTTAGCCCCTTTCACTGTTAGAACCCCTAACCACCCGCTATTCTGCCTGTCTAGGAAAACTCTAAGATAATAAGAATGGGAGTCTTCCCAGGTTGTTCAAATGTCCACAGAGAGACTCGAGCCCTTTCTTCTCCCAGGTCCCTGCCCTCCATGTCCCTCTGCAATGGAGTCTTTAAAATGGAAGGTCTGTGGGACACCCTGCACTCTGAGCAGAGGTAGGGCTTCAGACCAACCAGGACATCTCCTGTCTGGGGACTGGGAAGACCCTGGTTATGTACATTTCTCTACACAGATCCTCTGTCAGCCCTTCCAGCAGGGTCCCCAAAGGAGTCTTCTGTCTGTATTTCAATATCTGCCCTGGAATCATGTGGCTTCCTCCCACCCTTAACAAGAGACCTCCATCTGCTTTCCCATGGTGTTCTGGCCCATGCAGCAGGGGATCTGAAACCTCTTATCTAGGCCTTAGCCCCAGACCCTGGAGATTCCCGGGACCCCACTCTCTCCTGCTGCCACCATCTAGCAGAGACTGGGATTTATGGGTCTGTTTCAGACTGTCCCCTGAAGTCAGCAGCTGGGTGGGACCCACGGTGTCTAGCCCAGGAGCCCTGCCTGTGCTGTCACTGATGCTCCTATTTTAATAGCACTGAGTAATGATCTACAGCGCTCTTCCGGAACTACAAAGAACCCAGAGGCATCCCCAGCCCTGAGCTAGGCGGTATCCCCACTCCTAGTTCCGCTCACCAGTCTCCTGCTTAGCGATGGGGTGCTTGGCTTTCTGGGCTTCAGCGTCAACAGTGCTGGCTCCTCCCCTTCCCAGGGAGAATTGAAACAGCGAGATTGTCTGAGCTTGCAGCCCCGACTACCGTCACACCAGACATAAAAGCTGTCACTGTCCCCATTATTGTAATAGCACCAAGAAAAGTCTTGCAGCACTCACCAGGGTCTACAAAGAGCTGGGGGAGTCATCCCCTAGCCCTGCACAAAATCCTGTGCTGTACTCACCGCTCTGACTCACTGCTCAGCGACAGAGTGTACAGCTGCCAGGCTCCGACCTCTTTCAACAGTGCTGGCTCCTCCCCTCCCCAGTGAAAAAAAACCGGAAACTTAGTGAGATGGCCTCCCCCACCCACAAACTGAGCTCAGAAACAAAATTCACCCTTAGGGGTCCTTGGCTGGGTCCTAAGGTATGGAAATTGCAGGTGGCTGCCTGCTTTCCTTCAGGACCAGCCCAGCTCTGTGTTGCACTTTCTGCTCCAACAGCCTGACCTCCTCTCAGCTGAACATAGCCTAGTCTTCCCTTTTCACTGGGCCACTCCAGCTGCACCAGGATTCCCATACGCTGTGTCAGTGGCAGCAGGCCCCCTCTGGTCCTTACCCCACCCTCAGACCCCATCACCTCCCTCTTTCCATTGGTTTGTTCCCTGCAGACCTCCCTATGAGCCTCTAACTTGTCCTGGCTGAAGATGAGCAGACATGGTGGCCTTCTCTGGGACTCTTATGGGTGTGCACACTGGCACCACCTAGGAGATAACATTGCCCCACAGGAGTCACTGGTTCCCCACCTCCACTGCCTCAGGTCAGCTCTGTCCCTGACAACCAGCCCCCAAAGTCTCCTGTGATGAAATGTCTGTGAGTATCAGACCCTGCCCCAGCTGCAGTCCAGGGTTCCCACGGCCTGCCTGGATGGAACCAAACCACTATTGTATAAGGAAAGGAAGGGGCTGAAGTCCCTTTGCTATACAGAGAATCTCATGCAGGGAGGGCCAGAGGAAAACCATCTGAGGAACCTTGCCAACCTCCCTCATGACAGCAGGTCCTGAGGGCTGAGCACACTGCTCCTGCAGTGGTGGTGATGGCGACATGTGCTGGCCTCCTTGGAGAAGTCGGTCAGGCCCAGCTGCACCTTGCCCTAGTCTTCAGAGAAGACCCCTGCTCTGCCAAAAACTTGCCCCAGTTCAAGGAATCACAGCTCCTCAGAGCCCAGGGACTTGCTGAGCTCCCTCCCCGGGGGAACTGGCAGGGCAGACACCAGGCTCCCTTTGTGTCCTCTAAGGAGCAGAGCCCTGCCACAGGGTCTTGACCTCTGCCTCTGAGGCTGAGGGCAAGGTCTGTGGCCAGCACCCTGTCCTGCTGGCGCTCTTGCGGGTAAAATCAAGCTTGGTGTCTGTGGCTCACCATGTTTTTGTAGCTCGAGAAGGCGTGGTGAACCGGGAGGGAGGATTCAGTGATGGTTGCTACGATCCAAGTCAGTTTTCTTCAAGGTATGCAGTCCCTAAAAGGCTATCCATGCTCCTCTAGATGCCCTTTACCATGCACATACAGGTAGTACTAAGTGGGACTCAGTAGGTTTTTTTAAAATGAAGTTGGGATCGAAAATTAGTAGGAGGATTAAGGGAGGAATCGGTGGGGAGGGAATGAGATGGATTTAGTCAGAACATAACATGTCCATATATGAAATTCTAAGACAATAAATAAATATGTTGAGCACTGTGTCCCTGGGTACACATGACCCAGAAGACAAGGGTCCCCAAGAGTTTCCATCACAGAGGGTCCTATCACAGCAGAATTTAATTGAAAAATCTAATTCTAGGTGAGGGAGCCCTCAGTACCAGGGAACATTTAAAAGCTTCCTTTTGTGTGGGCCCCTGTAACCAGAGCCCTAACATGATGAGCAAGCCCAGCTTAAAGCTATATTGTCTGTCTACTGCTCAATATGTTATAAAATGGACTCAGCCCCAAGAGCACAGGGAGTCTCAGGTGCCACCTGGCTCCTCCTGGCCAAGAAGTGGCCACAGTGGGAGTATTTTCACCAAAGAGTTTGGACCAGGATGTCCCTGTGCCCATGTCACTGAACTATGGACATTACAGACACAAGGACCACGCTTCAGAGTGTGAAGCTCCCTGTCCATCCCCAGGCTCTTTGACAGTAAACAAAGACAGACTGGGTAGCAAGACACAGAACAAGGGCCACTCTGTCCCCAACTCACTAGGAAACTAGCCATTGAGTGAAGCATGACTGGCAGCCAGAGCCTTGCCACAGTGCTCAGAGGCTTTGCACCACAAGAGGTAACCAAGCAGATGCCAGGCTACTGGAGAAACTGGTCTGATTCATCTGCTGTATCTCAGGTGTCCTCCTGTAGGACCTGTTTCTCCTGAGCACAGGAGAATGGGACCAGGTAATGCTTTCTTTCCACCCCCCACTGTGCCCCTGTCTGATATGTGAACCCCATCACCAACAAACAGTAAGAAGAAGGAACCCCAAGGTTCTGGCTGCAGCAACAAAGCTGAGTCATCAATCAGCCTGTCTTGGGATGACTCCCAGGGAGGGCTGTGACCAGGTTCCATCCCAGTGTGCTGAGTGACCAAGTGCTCAGGGTTGCTGCCCACCTGCTGGGCCCTACCTGGCTTCCCTGTTATTTACCATTGTTATCCATAGCAGCATTTTATACTTTTGTAAGCACTTCTTTGTTCTGTTTTGAGACAAAGTCTCCTTGTATACACTAGGCTGGCCTTGAACTTACAGTAATCCTCCTGTCTCCATTTCCCAAGTACTAGAATAACAGATGTGCATTTCAATGCCCAACTATAAACACTATTTTAAGCTGTTTCAGACTCATAGCAAAATTTTTGCAGAAGGTACAGAATTGTATATGCACCCTCTTCATCCAAGTGCATAACTTCCCATTGCCAATGTCTTCAGCAGAGAACCCTATGTCATACTATGTCACAGTGGATGAACCTACAATGGCACACTATCACCCGGTAGCCACAGTCAACATTTCTACATCACAGTCCCAGTGACAATTATAATGTCACTCTGTGCACCATCACTGCCCCAAGCCCTAGGACAAGGTCCACCATGATGTTACTCAGCACAATGTCACAGACCCAAACCCCTGGGCTCTGGCTGTGTCTTCCTGCTCCTACCCTTGGTGACCCTGAGCTCTCTCCTGTCCCCATCACTGTGTCTTTTTCAGGAATGTTACAGTATTCATTCAGCAACTTTGTGGTAACCACACCAGAGTGGACTTTCTGACTGTCTCTGCCTGGTCTTGCTTCCCAGAATTGACCCAGAGCTGAGGACAATCAGAGGCTGATGGCTGGGGCCCACAGCTGAGAATAACTCTTGGACTGGAATTCTCTAGGTAAGGCAAATTTTGCCTTTGCAAAAAGTTGTGTTATACAAGGACCCATATTCTGTCACTGTGATAAAACCCTAAGATGATCAGCTTACAGAACAAAGACTCATGTTGGCACATAGTTCTGGAGATGCTGGTCCATCATCCACTGACCCTAAGGCCCTACCTGCATCACAGTGGGAGACTGTGGCAGAGCAAAACCACTCACTTAAAGGCCAAGAAGTGACAAGGAGGAAGAAAGGGCTGAGGTCTCAGAGTCCCCTTCAGGGGCACACTCCCAATATCCTGAACACCTCTTGCTAGGCCCACCTCTTAAGAGTTCTATAAACTTCCAGTAGTGTCACTCTGAGATCAAGTCTCCACTACATGAACCTTTGGGAGATGCTTAGGATACAAATAATAGAAGCTGCTAAAATGTGCTGCAGATAGATCCAAGCCAAGGCCAGTAATTCCAGGCCTGAAATGGAAAAACAAACAAAAGCACAAGAGATTCTGTGTTGTCTACACCCAAAGGTATGGTGCAGTTCTTCATCCTCTGGAGGGGTTCCAAGCTCACCAGGTGAGCAACAGAAACAGTGTTGTTAAGAGCAGGTGCTCCAAGCCCCAAAAGTCACAAGACTCTTCTCAGTGCTGGAGCATTGAATTTATCACAACGCAGCAGTGACATTCATCACAACACAGACGCAGCTGAGAGCAGGGCACCAACTCCATCTAACATGAGTGAAGCTGCAGTCAATGCTTGTTGAGTTTCCTCCCATGGAGCAGGTCGGTAGGGGGCGACAGAGGGCCAAGTAGAAAGAGCTGCCATAGAGTGGGATAAAGGGTTGGGTATCAACAAGCTAAAGACCTGGACCCTGCCTGGCTAGGAATGCCCTGAGCCTGTCCCCTTACAATTGGAGGGGGGTCAACATGGCATATCAGGAGATACGATGGAAATGCATTCTCTCCTTTCTATCCCTGAAGGTGTATGTAATTGTTAACAATGATTGTCAACTTGGTTAGACCTGTAATCGCCTAGATGACAAGCCTCACAACATGCCTGTGAGGGAGTGTCTACATGAAGTAAATTGAGGAGGGAGGGCACATCTAGAATATGGGTGATACCATTCCCTGGGCTAGTATTCCAGACTGAATAAGGAGAAAGTGAGAGGAGCACTCACTAGTGGTCATCTCTCTGCTTCCTGACTGTGGGTGCCATATGGCCAGCTGCCTCAACCTGCAACTGTCTGGACTCCCTTGCCATGATAGACTGTACTCCTAGAACTGAAATCCAAACTCTTACGTTGCTTTTGGTTATTTTGTCACAACAATGAGACAAGTCACTAATACAGGTAGCAAGAAATCTCGAGCCCAAAGGGGTCTGTCCAACTATGCTTGGGGCTTATCTGAGCCCATGAGATCGGTGATCTAACAGTAAGATGTATCAGAACTAAGACTGGGGGCAGCAGAGATGTGCTCTTACTGAGATCCTGAGGCTAGAATCAGTCCCAGAGCTCTCCCATCTACCAGCAGTCACTGGCACACATAGGCATGCCCTGCTTGTAGATGCATCACCGGACTTCTGCCTGTCTTCACATGGTACTCAACATACAGGTCTATGCTCAAACTGTCCCTGCTTATGAGGTCAGCGGCCATGAAGGAAGGGCTGGCCCACTCCAGCAGATCCAAGTCTAACTCATTACGTCTGTGACAGTCCTACTTGACTGGACATCAAAACTTCAGCATAGGAACTTGTGGGAAAGCAACTGTGCCTACAGTCAAGCCTGGGTCAGGATCCCATCTATGATCTGCAAGGGCCACTGCAGATACTGGACTTCCTGAGGAGTCTGTGCTCTGAAGCCCTGGTACTTTTTCCTG